AGATCTTTATTATCACTAGAGGGGTCAGCAGCAGGAGGAAGGAGGTCCTGATCCCTCTATATAGATCTTTATTATCACTAGAGGGGTCAGCAGCAGGAGGAAGGAGGTCCTGATCCCTCTATATAGATCTTTATTATCACTAGAGGGGTCAGCAGCAGGAGGAAGGAGGTCCTGATCCCTCTATATAGATCTTTATTATCACTAGAGGGGTCAGCAGCAGGAGGAAGGAGGTCCTGATCCCACTATATAGATCTTAAGTTAGACCTAATATTAGTGTCCAATTCTGGAGACCTCACATTGATATAGAATGAATCTGGACACGGGTAACAAAGATGGTGAAAGTTCTGAGAGATAAAACATATCAGGAGAGACTGCAGTCTGGAGAAAAGAAGGGAAAGGGGGGACATGACTGAAACCATAGTCTCTATGTTTAATTTTTCGTGTAGCTCCTCTTTTTCAAAAACAATGGCACCAATGTTCCCTTTGTTGTTCCTCATGTTCACTGGGACGGTTGCACAAGGCACGGCTGGCAGTATTGCACAAACATCCAGACGTTGTTACAAAAGAAATATTTTTAAACTTTTCTTCCAGTGAAACATGTTTGCATCGATAATGCTGCTTATCTCAGTGTGCTGGTGACCTGGTTTTATATGCAATCTAGACACTGAGCCCTCGTTCACACCTAGGCGTATTGCAAAAGCGCGTCTGTCGCGCGACCGTTGCGCGGTTTTTTTAACGCGATTCACGGTAAAAAAGTAACGCGACCGTCGCGCGATTATTGTAATAAACCTTTTATTTAATTTTTTTTTTTATTAAATAACATTTTCACCTTTTTATTTTGTTCTTTGTGGCATCTCAGTGCTAATGGTCTTTTGCAGCCACTTCTCATCTACATGCACTCCAGTGATGGCTGCATGGCCTGACTCCATGGCAACAGTGGACCATGCATGCGTAATGTGTAAAGCCCATGTGACGGGGTGACAACGCAGGAGAACAACTGGGAGGCAGGCACAGGGCGTCGTCACCCTATACAGGAAGTGCCCTAACAAGAGCCTTCAAGGCAGGATCGGCGGGGATTATTTTAAAGAAAGCTGCAGATTTTAAAATATTACAAATTACATTAACACGTTAAAGCCCAAATGAACTTTCAGTTTACATCAGCTAAATACATTCCAGGTGCATCAAAACAAAAGGCCCGCAAAGTCACAAAACTGTGCCGCAGCCTGAGCCTGGAGAAGGACCCCTGCACTCAGTTTGGAAGCAGTGGTCTCTCTGCAAAGGTCTGAAACACCCCCTTGCTGTGTCAGAGCCGGAGCTCTCCAATCAGCATGGAGAATGAGCTTTGCTGTTTGTAGAGCTTGAGGTCTGACTCAGCAGGGGGCGTGTCAGACCTCTGCAGAGAGACCGCTGCTTCCACACAGATAGCAAGGGTCCTTCTCTGCAGCATGCTGGCAGGGAACAGGCTTTTCTACTCAGGCTGTGGCTGCTTTTTAAAGAAAAGAGTTTGCACACCTTTTGTTTTGATGCACGGAATGCATTTAGCTGATTTGAATGGGAGATTTAACAGAGCTTTAAAGCTTATTCAACATTTTCATGATTGGGTCTACGTCTACGTCCCCAAAACTTAGAGGGGTTAGATCTATATTAAAGGAGAACTATGAGATTTCCACTCACCTCATAGTTCTAGCCGACATGTGACAATGAGACTGTCACAGGTCGGCTCAGTAGATCGAGAGGTGAGCGAACACATACCGGCGTTCGCTCACCTCTCGATCCCGTCCCCGGCTCTCGGCGGGGACAGGGGAGGGGCTGGATTCCCCCCTCCCCGCTCCGATCCTCCAGCGCTGACTGGCGGAACGGACGGAGATAGGCAGAGACAGCTGTCACTCACGCAGCTGGGCGGATCCCGACATCCAGGTCGGGATCCGCTCCGGCTGCGGCGTCTCAGTATACCGCGAGCTGTAGCTGCCTATATACTGAGCCTAGGGTGACGGGAGGACGCTAGTTTGTGTCCTCCCGTTACCCTAAGGAGAACTATGGGGAAAAGCACTGACCCCATAGTTCTCCTTTAAATCTTACTAATATTTGTGAATTGTAGACATGTAAGCTGCCGAAAAATTCAGGGTTCGGTTTGGATATTTCATTATTTCGAGATTCGGATCCGAAATTCAATTTGGTTCGGGTTTTGCGTTCGGTCAAAATCCGAATTTCGTTAGTTTGCAAATATTCGTTGTGAATTCCACAGAAAACCATCTACAGATATTAATACTAAAGCTGAATCTCCCAGACCCGCATGGCATCTGGGATCCGAATTTCCTAACTGCATTCGGGAGCTCCTGAATGCCATTTGGGTCTGGGAGCCATATACATGTATTACTTAGGCCCCGTTCACACTGAGCGGTTTATCGCGCGATTTCCGCGGCGAAGTCGCGCATATTTCCGCGCGATATCGCTCTATGTAGCTCGCCCAATGCATTTCAATGGAGCTGTTCACATCTCACAGCTTAATGTCACCTGTAGGCGGAGCCAGCTGTAGCTTGTCGCTCGTACATGACCCTTTTTTGCGTGGATGTCGCGCGATTCGGCTCCAATAGACGCTATGGTGTCACGCAAAATCGCACATTACCGGCTATGATGCACGACTTTGTTGCGCGATATCACGCTACAGAAGGGTTACTTTTGCACTGCAAAATGGAAGGAAAGAATGGTGTCACATCAAGATCGCTGTTGATTGGTTACAGCCCAATGTAGCAGCGACGAAGTCCCGCCCAAAAAAACGCGCTATGTAGTGCGATAAAATGTGCAATTTCGCTCAATATCGCGCAATGTAGCTCTAGCCGCTCAGCACGAAATCGCGCTGAAAAACGCGCGCTATCCATGTCCGTGCTGTGTGCGGGGCCTTACCAAACAGCTGCCGGGAAGGACAGGTGCTGCGTGTGATTAGTACGCAGCCCCAGTCCTTCTCTATGGGGCTACGCGGCCGTACGCCCCCCTACGCTCACCTCAATTGCAGGTTCGTAGGGGTACGGGTATGCATACAGGATCCATTCCGGCGGCATATGCATACGATCACCCGCACCCCTACGGGGCATCACATTCACGGGGGGAGTAGTTTTTTTTCTACAATTAGCCTTGATTCAGGCAATTGAGGAACCCGGCCTTGGGGCAGCAGAGAGAGTAAATCTGGCCCTGCACGGCAAGTAAGACAGTTCAAGCGCAGTATATGTTCTCATCAGCTTTTAGGAAGACAAGCTTCACCTTCGTACCGGGGGATGACAGTCTAGTATTCCCTGGAGTACTAGGTGGGTGCTGGAGGGGTTTCCTTTTCTTCCTGGGTTGATCCTTCCCTGGTTCTCCAGGCTTGTCCCCAGTTGTAGGCAAGAGCCTCTCCGGTGCTAATGCCTTGGGCTCCCAGTGATGTGCCCCCCTGGGGTTGGCCTCCAAGGAGTGCCAGAGACACACAATGGAGGGGATTTATCAAAACTGGAGCAGACAAAATTTGGAGCAGCTGTGCATGGCAACCAATCAGCATTCACCTTTCATTTTCAAAGCTTTATTGAACAAACTGAAGAGAGAAGCTGATTGGTTGCAATAGGCAACTGATCCACATTTTGTCTGCTCCAGTTTTGATAAATTCCCCTCAGTGGGTTTGGGATCCTATGGTGTGGCACCTGGCACATGGTCACGTCACCATGTTGCTTTTCTTGCACATGCCTCCTGGCTAGTCTGCAGGAATTTTTATGCCAGCCGCATGGCACCGTATTTATTTATAGCACAAGCACTTTTCACTCCACAAACTATGGAGGTTACACGTCTTTCGGGGGCCTGCCCTGTTGTTGGGGAGGAGGATCTGTGGCCTTCACGGATCTCTTTCCTTTCCCCCATTCAGGAGTCTCCCTTTGGAAGAGCCCCTGCCAAGTACTTGGTGGACCGGCTAGTCCCTAATGCTCGGGGTCCACTTGGCTCAACTGCTGGACTAGAGTGCCTTGCCTGTCAAGAGCCTTGCACTTCGGCAGGGGCGTTCCAAGGCTGGGTGTCACCGAGTCCCCTCCTCCCTCCTAACACTGTCGGGCTCTCGGTCCATGACCCGACTTTTTAGAGGGGGCAACACCAAGATGACTGTTAGTCATTTTGGTGTCCCCCGGGTGCGGGGCACCCCCCCCCCCCCCCCCCCCCCCGGTGCCCCCCCCCCCTTCGCG